GTTTCCAAATAAGTAGATCCCTCTGAGCTTTAAGGTTTATTTGTAAGGACCAGTGTCAGGGCAAAATAATTATTGCCTGTAACTATAATGGTAGTTTACTGCTATTAATATATATATATGGATGACTTTACAGTTACTCAGATAGCAATTTGTGTCTGTGTTCAAAAATGCAGTCTATTTATAGAAATGATTACATAAGGACAAGGGGAACTTTTGGGCTGAATTATCTGCCCTTTGATTGAAACTGACCTTTAGACTGCCAAAGTCAGAATGACCCAGAATGGATCTCATCGTATTTATAGGTGTGAGAAAATGGTCACATGTCTGTTATTGACCAATCAAATTACGAGAAATTACATCTCTTTACGTCCTTATTCCTTTGAGGGATCTACTTTCACAATGTAAAATCACTGAAATAAAGAGGAAGGCAAACCATCTCAGGAGGTAATTTGGTATAAAAATGAGTATTTATACCAATCAATGAATTCTGTCTAATTGATTCACTAATTGCCTTCCAATATCACAAGATAAACAATTACGTCCTGCTACGTCGAAGCTACGTCCTTGCTGCCTGCCGAGAGGACGTAATAACAACAAGCAACATCGACTGGGAATTACGATGGACAATTCAAAGAGGAAGATTACAAATGTCAGGAGGCAATTGGAATTTATCTGATGCATAAGACGTTTAATAACACAAATTGGCCACTGGTATGCTTTGACAGAAGCACTGGATGTCATATTTATGAGAAACGTTCATAAATAGTGACGCTAAATACTGCGCATGAATACATCAGTGAAGATTACATAGTTCCTGATGTCAGAATTAACAGTAACTTTAATACACGTCTTGACATATCATCAAATACGATTCTGGGTTCCTCTGGACATAGTTCATTAGATTAAATAAACTTTATAATGCAAATGCTAAGCATTAGCCAAATTCAGTAACTTCATCGCGACCTAGGCTAGCTGTCACAAAGTTAAAATGGCGGGCGTCGGCGAAACACGTAGCTTAGCCCTGATCACAAATTCACACAAATATGGATAAATATCAAGCTGCCAAGTGATTGTGATCTGTTTGTTGAAGAACAAAGGTATGATTAATCTGTATCTGATGGTTAATTTGCGTAACTGTGTGCTTAGAACGATGAATTCTTCAAAAGTTACGGTCAATGCAAAACTCTTGAAACAAGTAAACAAGATCGTTTTGACAGGCACGTTGTTGACATCGATGCTTATGAGGTACTGGCACATCCTAAACAATATGCGTAACATGATGGCATGGACATATGATTATTTTTACGAGATAACGGTGTGCCATGAAGCTCTATAAAAGCATGCTATGATCCTCTGATAGATTTCTTACCAAAACGGGATTCAAAACATTGAATTACGTGAAAACGAGGTTGGCAAAAGTATACTGATATATACCTGCAAAACTAATTACAGTTTACAGGATAATTATGATATAATTCGTGCACTGTCATATAACCATCAAAAATACAACAGGGAAATATTTAGGAAATATTTCTAATTTTTACAAGCTGTCATAACTTACATATTTTATAATAAAGACACATTAATATTTATATATTCTTCGTGATGGCCATCACAATATGGTGAACATGACTTTCGTATGTATGAACAGTAGGATTAGACCTTTCAAATGGTGTATAACATGTAGTAGCAAAGATGTTTTACAAGCAGATATTTTCCTTGATAAATGTTAGCTTCATCACACAAGAGTCTTTCGGAACTAGGTGCCACAGCAGTAAAAGCTTCTGGTTGACGGGGGTGTTAAAAGTGTTAAACAATATAATCACGTGCCTAACCATGGGTCCGGGTAGTCTTGTGTGTACCTGGGTCCTACTCAGTACCCACCCGACCCGAGTACCTGAGTTATCCGTCCTAGCTCAAGCCGATGTAGTAGTATACTGAACAACAAAAGAAACGTCACAATGGATAGATGTATGAGAAACCTTATTTGTCCAAACACTGTAAACATACTGCTGTGACACCATTGCCTCTCCCTGGACCGATGTTCTGGAAGACCACAGGAAAAAGACCACAGGGCCTACCCTCTGTCCAAGACGAATTCCACCCCACACCATGATGCTCAGACCACCCCACAAGTCTCTCTCAACAACACAAGCATCCGACTCTTCTCCACTGCTGGTGGCGCCAATGCTGGTGCTGTGTTGCCCACTGAACACAGTCCCGGCGATGACGTGGTGTCAGAATGGTTCCTTGGTGTAGCCTGTGACATTGGAGGTGTCTGTTGGTCAATCGTCGACGCACGGTGTCTGCACTAATGTGTCGCTGGTGTGTCCCCATGGTCTGTCGAGCAGTTTCCGCAGCAGTAACAAAGCGATCTTGAAGATGCTGTCGCACAATCTGACGATCCTGACGTCTGGTGATGACCCTTGGTCTTCCACTACGTGGTTGGTCATCTGTAGTGTTGCTGGTCTGGTACTGTTGCTGGAGCCTGTATATGGTCCTTACGTGGACTTGAAATGCATTGGCTACTTGCCGGGCGGTTTGTCCAGCTTGCAATCGTCCAAGGGCTTGGTGTCGCTGATTTTTTGTCAATCTTGGCATGTGGTAGCAATTCAATAACGAATGAATGTTATCTGATCTGGGTGTTTTTTTATAGGGCAAGAAATGGGGGAACGCATGTGCATTTCAATTTACACAGAACTCAAGTGCATGAGGTTACCATGGCCGTTGCCGTGATGCATTTTGGCGATCGGTTTTATTGTCATCTGCTTTGATTTTTTATCATGAAATTTTATTTTTCCGGACAAGGTTATGTTAAAATTTAGAAACTTTGACAAAAGTTACCGTATTTTCTTGAGTATAGTGCGCACCCATGTATAATGCGCACCCCCCTCTAGCGGGTTCAATATTTTGGAAAAAAAGAAATTTGAATATTATGCGCAGAAAAAAATTACACCGTACCCCTACAGCGAAGTCGGGCAAACGAACGGGTGATGAGAAACTTCGTCAGTACAAATTCGAAATTTGAGATAAAAAATCACCAGACATGTTGATTTACCGTTTAAATTGTATTTTTTGTTCGGCTAGGCATTGTTTTATATCCAGGGATTAAAATTACCTTGTGTATTTTCTTGTTAACTAAGCCGGACACAGCAATCAGCTGTACACATGTTTTCTTGGAATCGACCGGTGATTCGGTCAAGACACACCCAATTATATAACTTTACAGTATTTCAATGCAAGGATCGGCAAAAGTTGTATCTGAAACTATTTTTTTTTAATCAGGAATAATATCTGAATATATTCCAATATCTTGTTAATTTAGATGCAGCTTTTACTAAACATATTTAAAATAATAATAAACCTAAGAGAAGCAGCTGATCGCTGTTGCCGGGGTATTATTTTTTACATGGAACCAGTCTGATCAGTCACCGTCAAGGCTCCTGTGCACGTGATCGCGAGAATTACGTTCGGACATAGAATCGTCCAACAAAAACAAATATGACTTTTATCAAATCAAAGTATGGCATTTATAATATATGTATCCATTCCCTGTCAACTAAAGTTCGTTTCAAGGCGTCAATAGCGGTAATCTGACCGTGGTTGCTGTTAAATTATTGGTGAGTTGTGCGATCTTCCGATCACTTCACACACGATTTCGCCGAAATAAGTTACAAACATAAGTCCAGATATACAAAGAACACTTTTCATAGCCAGACAGTGTAATTACATGAATAATTTCCGAACTTCAGTATGGATTTGTTGACATAGTATTTCCGGTGTTACATGCTCACGGTAATGTCTTTCCATGGGGGAAAAAACATCAAAACTCATTAATTCGTGTATAATGTGCACCCCCTTCTACACAGCTGTGTTTTTTGGAAAAAAAGTGTGCACTATACTCAAGAAAATACAGTACCCAGATATTTAAATGACAACTTTTCATGCAATGTTACTTGGGGTGACGTTTCTTTTCCGGTTCAGTATATATCTATATCATCATGCAAAACAATATGTAGGGTGCACCGAACAGCTTCCATTAGACCAGGGGTCCGGAAACAGTCATATGCGCCGGACAGGTTCGATTGGGAATCTCAAATGTCCGGTTTAAAATATTGCTTACCGGACATTTAAATTTTTCTGTCCGGACATTTTAAAAAGTATTGTCCGGACATTCTTAAATTTTGACCGGACGTGATCAACAGTTAGGACTGAGCAGTTTCTGTCAGCAGTTGTAACACAATGAAGATTATCTACACTGACAAGCTTTGTTTGTTTTGATTGCTGTAAATACATTGTACCTACATGATAGTCCAATCGGTCAATCACTGTAATAGGCAATAAACTGACTTGACACTGATTAATCGAGGATTAATGATTAGACCCATGTGAGGTTTTTGCAGAAGAGGTGCATTTGTTTACAAACAAGAGCAAAGTCTGTGACATGCCTCTGACTGCTGTGGGGTCACTGGAGCAGAAAATTCGCTCGCGGAATAAGGCGAGCAGTGCAGAGTAAGCTCGGGGATTATCGCTTATTATTTTCAAACAATGATTGAGTACGGTCGACGTCATGTTCCATTGATTCATGGTGATGAAGGGATCATAAATGGGAACTAATATACATGTTTTATAATTTCGATTCTTTAGTTATCATGATCATGCACAGGAATGCCTTTTTTTTAGTTATTTAAATATTGACGTTGCACACATCCAAATGTCACCATTCCAACCCCCATTTATCAACAATTTATCAACAGTAGGACATCTTTTACAGTAAGTCAATAATGTTTATAATATTTGTAATGACAATTGTGTTGTACCCCCTTCACATGCATTTTAAAGTATTGGAGCCAAAGCATGCAAATATTTAAGCACTTGACAATTGCCAGGTATTGCTTTCAAATTTTCAGTTGCAAGTATCCATCACAGAATAATATCAAGTGAGAAGGATGAAATGCTTGGTGTCGAATATTTTTGTTCTAATTGTGTTTTTCTTACAGAAATATATTCCAAAGTTGGGAAAAATGCTGCAATTCACACCCGTCCATCCAACATTCATTTTGATGGCTTTGAATTACAAAAGAAACAGACCAGGTCATTTAAGATTGTCAACGCTTCATCAGATGTGCTCAGAATGCATATCATCCCACCACAGAGTAAATATTTCTACATCAAGTACAAGAAATTGGTATGTATACACACTCTTTTTAGGAAAGGTGACTAATAATCCAAATCCATATTTTGTCAACAGTATGGCCATCACCTGTGGGTACTGACTAACCACAGACTTTATGGTAAAACCACAGACTACATGGACTAACCACATACAACATGGACTAACCACAGACTACATGGACTAACCACAGACTACATGGACTAACCACCGACTACATGGACTAACCACAGACTACATGGACTAACCACAGACTACATGGACTAACCACAGACTACATGGACTAACCACAGACTACATGGACTAACCACAGACAACATGGACTAACCACAGACTACATGGACTAACCACAGACTACATGGACTAACCACTGACTACATGGACTAACCACAGTCTACATGGACTAACCACAGACTACATGCACTAAACACAGACTACATGGACTAACCACAGACTTCATGGACTAACCACATACGACATGGACTAACAACAGACGACATGGATTAACCACAGACTTCATGGACTAACCACCGACAACATGGACTAACCACAGTCTACATGGACTAACCACAGACTACATGGACTAACCACAGACTACATGGACTAACCACAGACTACATGGACTAACCACAGACGACATGGACTAACCACAGACAACATGGACTAACCACAGTCTACATGGACTAACCACAGACTACATGGACTAACCACAGACTACATGGACTAACCACATACTACATGGACTAACCACAGACTACATGGACTAACCACAGACTACATGGACTAACCACAGACTACATGGACTAACCACAGACTACATGGACTAACCACTGACTACATGGACTAACCACAGACTACATGGACTAACCACAGACTACATGGACTAACCACAGACAACATGGACTAACCACAGACTACATGGACTAACCACAGACTACATGGACTAACCACAGACTACATGGACTAACCACAGACGACATGGACTAACCACATACAACATGGACTAACCACAGACTACATGGACTAACCACAGACTACATGGACTAACCACAGACTACATGGACTAACCACAGTCTACATGGACTAACCACAGACAACATGGACTAACCACAGACTACATGGACTAACCACAGACTACATGGACTAACCACCGACTACATGGACTAACCACAGTCTACATGGACTAACCACAGACTACATGGACTAAACACAGACTACATGGACTAACCACAGACTTCATGGACTAACCACATACGACATGGACTAACAACAGACGACATGGATTAACCACAGACTTCATGGACTAACCACATACAACATGGACTAACCACAGACTGCATGGACTAACCACAGACTACATGGACTAAACACAGACTACATGGACTAACCACAGACTTCATGGACTAACCACAGACTTCATGGACTAACCACAGACTACATGGACTAACCACAGACTACATGGACTAACCACAGACAACATGGACTAACCACAGACTACATGGACTAACCACGGACTACATGGACTAACCACCGACTACATGGACTAACCACAGACTACATGGACTAACCACAGACTACATGGACTAACCACAGACAACATGGACTAACCACAGTCTACATGGACTAACCACATACAACATGGACTAACCACAGACAACATGGACTAACAACAGACGACATGGACTAACCACAGACAACATGGACTAACCACAGACTACATGGACTAACCACAGACTTCATGGACTAACCACATACGACATGGACTAACAACAGATGACATGGATTAACCACAGACTTCATGGACTAACCACATACAACATGGACTAACAACAGACTACATGGAGTAACCACAGACTACATGGACTAAACACAGACTACATGGACTAACCACAGACTTCATGGACTAACCACAGACTACATGGACTAACCACAGACTACATGGACTAACCACAGACTACATGGACTAACCACCGACTACATGGACTAAACACAGACTACATGGACTAACCACAGACAACATGGACTAACCACAGACTACATGGACTAACCACAGACTACATGGACTAACCACAGACTACATGGACTAACCACAGACTACATGGACTAACCACAGACTACATGGACTAACCACAGACTCCATGGACTAACCACAGACAACATGGACTAACCACAGACTACATGGACTAACCACAGACTACATGGACTAACCACCGACTACATGGACTAAACACAGACTACATGGACTAACCACAGACTACATGGACTAACCACAGACAACATGGACTAACCACAGACTTCATGGACTAACCACAGACTACATGGACTAACCACCGACAACATGGACTAACCACAGTCTACATGGACTAACCACAGACTACATGGACTAACCACAGACGACATGGACTAACCACAGACGACATGGACTAACCACAGACTACATGGACTAACCACAGACGACATGGACTAACCACATACAACATGGACTAACCACAGACAACATGGACTAACCACAGTCTACATGGACTAACCACAGACTACATGGACTAACCACAGACTACATGGACTAACCACCGACTACATGGACTAACCACAGACTACATGGACTAACCACAGACTACATGGACTAACCACAGACGACATGGACTAACCACAGACTACATGGACTAACCACAGACTTCATGGACTGAGCACATGAATGTGGCTCTGAGGAAAGATGGGTGATGACCTGAAATTGTTTGAATTCTGATATAAACTCAACTATTTAACATTTGTTTCTTTGTCAGTCCTGCATCCATGGTGAAGAATTGCTTTCTTCTCACGAGGGTGGATGGCTTTGCATGTATTATTCAGCAAGGGGTCTGCTTATAATATCCAAAGCATCATATAAAATCATGGTTGCCAAATGTAAAATTTGGTCACATCATGCATGTTGGCATCAAATAGTAGACTGATATATTATTTTAACTTGTCTGTTTATAGTTTGCAATTTGTTATGAACAGAACCAGTTTGAAAAAGGCAATGTGTAAAATTATGAAAAGCGAAACTCCATTGTCAGGATAATTAATAATCAGTTATTTAATGTGTTTTTCCTGCAGGAAAGGATGGTGCCAGGCCTCACCCTTGACTGTACAGTAGAGTTTACCCCTGACGAGTGGAGATATTACTATGATTGTATTAGAATCAACTGCCCGGTGAGCTTGCTGTCAATTTGTTGTATGTTGTATTGGGTGGTACAGAGGAAATATGATTACATTCGAGGAAGAATGGACTGGAACCATGGTGTCTTTCTCATAACTTTTGGTTGATGTGTTTGAACCCTATAGCAGTTCTTGGGCACTGGGCACTTATGAGCACTGGGTTGTTATGATATGCGAACTGGTTGATCATCCCCCGGCAAAGTGGTTCATTGACCATGCAGTCAAATTACTGGTTTGTCTGATCGAGGTGTCAAAAACAACATTCACTCGTTCATTAAAGCTCTGCATACTAACGTCGAACCCATTCGACAGAGGTGTCACTTCCCGTGCATCTAATGTCGAACCCATTCGACAGGCGAATAGCATAACGACACCCCAAAATAAAACTCGCCATATCTATTTACCAAGAAGGCTTTGCGTAACATTTAAATTACTATGACATGCATAAATGCTCAGCTTGCTAAATATCAAAACTTTCAGTCATTTATTTACCTCAAAAAGAAAATATCGCGAGTTAAAAAAGTTTCAGGCCAAACTTCTCGGCACACAACTACCAGAAACGGCCATTGTTGACTTTGGGCACTTCACGCTGAGCGGCATGCAGTCCGATATTTTCTTTATATTTCATCATTTTTCCTATTCGATCATAAATTTTTGTTTGCTGGCGAAAGGAAAACACTCATGTTCCTTAATTTCTAAAAATTAGCAACTTTCGGTGTAACTAATTGTAAACAAAAACAATCTGAATCGTAACATCATCGATTGGATGGAACTTGTACGATCATCGCAACGGCGGTAAACAAACAACTCCACATGCATAGTTATCCCGTTAGACTATTACAATCATTTTGTTACATCTAACTTAATTTTCTAGAATTATTGACACGTATGTATAAATCTTTGTAAAAAAATAATTCATTTTTAAAGAGTTTGCAAATGATTTCGTTTGAAAAACTTTCGGACACATTGACAAGCCGACAAATATCAGTGATACGTTTGGGCCTGGCCTAACTCGCGATTTGTTGAGTTGAACAAAGTCAACAAACACTGCGAAAAATGACAAATATTGGATGATACGCAAAATCTGAACTGATATACATTCTAGGTAAACCATTCAATAGCAAAATAATGCAGTTTACGAGAAATAATCAAAATACTTGCAATTTTAGCTATCATATCTAAAACCGGAAGCACGTACCGCATGTGACACATGGAAGCAAAATATGCAAAAGTTGGTAAGCTATCATAAAGAAATTCCGAAATAGATTCAAATTCAAAAGAAACTACATAATTTACTATTTTTCGTCTACTATTTACTATTTATTGATCTGGAGAGCAGTCTTCACTCCTATTTGTTTCATATTTCTTCGTGATTGTCGCCATCAAATGTGTAAGTCTTAATCCAAAACCGTAATGGATTTCACGCTCGGTCATTTTAATTTTAAAATATTTTCTGAAAACGAACGCAACGGAAAGCGATATAACGTATTGATGTGCCATAATAATAACAACATAATATTCTTATTGGTCTAACATTACAAAAAGAACAATTTAAAATATTAAAGATGTTGTTGAAAACTTTCTGAGAACCTCCCGTCCTCTGAACCGATACAATTTTGGTACACGATGAGGTAGTGTAAGTGTAAATATATATAGATTCTAGGCTCCTATATGTGATTTTGTACCCAAAACAAATTAAATTGTACCCAAAATACTTTGTGAATTTGTACCTAAGAAAATAAGACAATAGATCTATAATTATATTTATGTTTTCATGTAGATGAACAGAAACACATAATAAAATATTTCATCAAGTTCCTAATATGATTATGACTGTGATCCTTGAAATTGATTGTTTAGTTTTTAGAGAAAATTGACGTCTTGTCACTGAAGAAGAGGCCAGTTAAAGTTAAGTTGGTTAAACCTAAGTTAGAATGTATTGTTTTGATAGGAAAGTGATATTATGTTAAGTTTAAGACACCAAAATTAATGTATATCTTTGAAATAATTCTAGGTAGATCTACAAAATCACATACCCATTTGGGTAACAAATTACTTGAAAGTTTGGGTACAAAAGTCACAACTGTACATTTCAACTGGTTTTTGTGAATCAATGGGATAAAAAAAATTCGTCTGAATGTTTTCTTTTCTCATTTTAAGACAATAATTTGTTTTACACAACAAAATAGGCAGATCTACACAGATCACGTTTTGTCCTAGAAATATATAAAAATGTGAAAAATATGGACACCTCAGAAATGAGGGCTTATAAGGTTATAATTCTACCTAACTTGTCACATGGTTTGACTTAGATCTAGGTCTATCTAAGAAAAGTCCTTATGAAAATCTTTTTTAATTTTTTTTTATGACACTGACATTTCTGGCACTTAGAGTATTCAAGGAAAGACAGATGTTTTTTTAAATGAAAATATGACTTTCCTCTATAATTCTTTTTTCATGATGACAGGGGAACTTTTATACACACCAGCTGAGGCAGTTGTGATACTGTGATTGCATGCAAAGGAAAAACAGGTTGGAAGCAGTACCTGTATGTATAAAATAGACCACATAAGGTGAACAAAAGCAATGGATTGGCTGACTGGAAAAAATACATCTGGCAAGGGTAAACATGTACACAAGCATGTTTCTTTTCATTCCAACCAGAAGACTGAGATGGCATTTTCTAAGAAACATATGGCTAACTTACCAGCTTATGTGCAACCATGATTCTTGTGATTAAAAAAACAAAAATGTCATGTACTGTTACAAGTACTGTTACTGTAATTAATGTATCATATTCCTATTAAATTATATTTCAGAATTGTTTTATTTGGAAACAAACCACATAATGCACAATATTAATGCCCATATGAGTTTAGTATGTATATGTTAAGGATCTGATTTATTCATTCTTCATGGAATACTAAAATTAAAATGATGACATCAGAGAGTTACTTATTCACATACATAGTTGATTTTCAGAGTGAAAGATAATAATTGTTGAATAAATATGTTTAAACTAAAGATAATAATTGAAGTTTGATCAGTTACACGTACTGTGCTGATGCAAAGACCAATATTTACTGTCCCCACACACCATCATTGTGGAAAAAAATAACTACTAAATATAACTTAAAATTTTAAAACCTGTAAACAGCTGTAAATAATTCAACAATTACAAATCTATCATCAATACGCAATCATGGTGGTCTTCATATTTTTGGAATAAATTTAGAAATCCTTCGTTAAACTGTTCTAAAATCATGCTAGAATCTATGAATGTATTCCCGAAAGGAAAACTATCCCAAATGTAATGTGGAACTAACACCGAAAATATGTACGTAGCATTTTATTGCTTATATATATCCTATCATATTCAGCAACGCGGGGATGTTATTTTGAAACACGTTTTGTCAAGCCCATTTTCGCGCACCTGTTGTAGAGGGTGATCTTGCTGATCGACGATATCCATAGACGTATTACGTGGGATACACTTGTTGTAGTGAAACTTATCAACGTGTACATCGCAGAAATATGAATCATGTCCCATTTATATTCACCGTAACATTGAATGGTGATTCTTAAATATCAGCAGAAGTTCAAATAAAAGATACCGAGAAACTTGCATGTGGCATGTTGATTTATCGTCTACCGTTTCCGGGTCACGGGAGCATGCAAGGTCAAACGGGTTAACTAATACGTGAATTATATCGTCAAAGTCACATTTTTATTTCATGTTAGTGGTGATTACTGATACTGTGTATCAATGTTTTTGCTGTATGTGATAGGCGTACTATTTTAAAATTTACTGTAATTGTTTTGTTTCGAAAGATTATCAGCAGACTACCTCTGTCTGTGACATCACATCCGGTGACCTTTGCACTTATTGAAATAGTGCTGTCAGAATTCACGATCTTTATTTTCGTTTTTCTCTCGTCATATTAATCGGAATATGACGAATAAAACATTTTTCGATTGAGAATATCGTCAACTTTCGCCAAGGCATATTTATAAAGGCAATGTAAACTTTGTATATATTAAAATCGCAATAAGTTATGCGGAGGTCGGGCAAAGCGTGCCATGTTTGATTTTAGGACGTCTGCTAGCATCGTGACACGGGTTGTTTATTTTGGTATATCGTAAATATTCAACCAAAACGCTTGAAATTAGGATTATTGAATATTTATAAGTCATTAATTGTTTCCTGCAAATTTTATAACATGACACGTCAGATTAACCCGAATATTCGTATTTCTGCAACCGACATGATGACCTCGAAAATGAAGTTATTTTTCTGTTTAACGTTTAGATAATAAATTCACTGAAATGGTTCATAATTTACCATCGTGCTGTTATATGCCGATAAAAGAATTTTTTTTTAACTCAATTGAAATTAAGGTATCGGAGATATGATTATTGAAATCAATTTGCACAAATGTTACAATATTAAAAGGTTCCTAGCATGAAATGCAAACCACCTTCAATAACGCAATTCAGGTAAGTTCAAGAAAATTAAAAAAACTTGTGTTCGCTTTGGTCTTAACCTTGGTATGATTGAAAACACCGGGATATTTTTATAAAGTATTGTGTAGTTTTCTATCAGGAATAAATGTGCAAAATATTTCTTCAATTGGCCCTTTGTTTAATGAGGCACCGACTGTTTGAAATCACCCACCCTCTTTAGAACGCCTTATGCCAAAATTAATCCAGCAGGCAGGGGTAAGAATTGTGAAAATAATTCAGCAGGCTAAAGGTTAAGCAGCCCTCAGGAAAGGAGCATTTATGCTTCGATTTTGATGAAACTTTAACACCTCTCATCAATGTAATGAGATGTTCTTTGAGAAGATTCTTGATGATCTGTGAGGGTGAAGGTCACCAGAAACCCTTTTGTAATAGCATGGAATGCTTGATTTTTATTTATGATAATTCAGTACACTTATAAATGATTAATATTGCATTTAAGCACTTCCTTCTAAACATGCCAAATTTGCCATGTGTCCAGGTCACGTCAAATGTTATGGTCATTCATACATTGAAAGACTTGCAATCAGTGTAATTCAGACTGTATTTACTGTATACATACTACAGTAGCTTGACCTTTGTAACTATATGCACTTGCAATTTGCAAATCCAATTTCCTTCAGAAGGTCAAGATCATTAGGAAGTGCTTATAATGTTTGTTTGGTTTTTTTTAGGGTACATGCTCACTCTATGGTAATTGACACATTTCAGAGAGAAAATTGATGGACAATATAATTATGTTACGTTCATATTATTAGTGCTGTGTAGACACTGGACATTGGATAAATCTTACCTGTGTAAACACATTGTGACGACCAGAAGGTCATAAACTTTCCATATTTGCATTCTGAATAGGCAGTAAACTTGTTGAAATGATAAGAATTTGTTAACATAGTCTTGAGACCATTCAAATTTGGTAAGCAATTCGTATATTTGTTTTTGTAGATGTATAATCTAGTTAGAATGAACATCAAGTTTAGTGTGTCATTTCGTTTTTCCTTACATCCAAATATGACATTTTTCTTATTTATTTCCAATTTTGTGCCAGTACAGTTTTCTATCCATTTGCCACAATGGTTTTACATGTGTATATTGAAACAACAGATGTATAGAAGATTCCTGTTCAACATCACAAAAAGTACATAATCATGATAATGATTCTGTTTTTATTTTATAGATGTACAAATCTTTATCAGTTGTCAGAATTCTATGGACCACTCCATATTGAAACCATTTCATTTTTGGGCTATCCGTTGCCCGAAAAGCAATGTAATTATATGATTTCCAGTATATAGTATCACTAAATTTTGATGAATAGAGGGCAATTCTACTTGTTTTTCAAAAGATATTGATTTGGTATGTGCATACGCTCTTATGGCTGAAATCAAACCTGCATATTCTAGGAAGTTGGTTTTTAGTTGATACAGTTCAGTGAATTCATCAAAACTAAAAAACGTACCATCCTATTTCAGACAATCATGAACAAATTTTACATTTCCTTTTAAATAGTGCTATAATGTTCCTTTTTTTGCACTGTTTCATGGTAATGAACATGTTTTTCCCAAACAGAAGTTTCTCAATAAACTGGAAGTGCATGAATCTTTGTTATAAAGATAGTAATGTTATATGTAATGTATTTTTAAAGTACCTGACTTCCAGCTTCACAATATTAATTTTTGAACTTATCCTATATCACACTATGCATTTTTTCATTCTTCTTTCGATCCTTAGTAGAAACATGCCTAAACAAAGGTTTCCAGCTTCTAAAAATACAATCCACCTGAACACATGAATCGATGATCTTCTAAGGATCGACGAACTCAAGATAGGAATCAGCAATCAAGGGATTGCCGATCACTGGATCGGCGATCTTCTCAGACTCGCCATACCTCCAAGGATCGTGAATCCTCCCCAGTTTGACGTCCTTCTAAGGTTCAGCGAAAATCTCAAGACCAACGCTCCTCTTTGAAGCAGCACACTTGCAAGGTTCGAAGTACTTCCAAGGATCAGTGCACTTCCAATGATTGGGAACTCTACCCACATGGATGGAGTTGTATGGACTCCTTCACCCCATGTATCCCTGTGACACTGCTTACCTGGATTACCTTCTCGGCCGAGCTTCTGTCCCTCTCCTTGCCATGAATTGTCCTCTTTTCATTGGCACAGAGATAACACTCGACTCTCAGCTACTACCAGCAGATGCCCTTCCCATAGGCCACGCACGGCACTCTTCCTTCAATGTGCCATTCCGCTTCCCCGTCTCCGCCTCTGGTTCATGTCCACTTATCGCGGTTGTACCAGATCCTCCAGGGACACTACAGTCTTCCACACAGATACTTTCTACCTTGCTGAGTCCTAATTATTTAACCTCCATCCCAGCACAGCAAATTCAGTCTCCCTTACGTCAGCATGCCTCCCTCAGTTAGGTCCTCCGATGGATTCAGTAACTTATGTTCCAGCTACTCTTCCGTTTTCGACCTCGACAGACTCACCCTATTCTTCCATGTACCTGTTGCCAGAGGAGGAACTGATCGATCGTCATGCCTCCCTTGCTTTGGAGGTTTTGACGGATCCGGTTATGGTTTTGATATGGATTGAGGATAAACTTCAGCTTCCGAAGAGTACTTTGACCGAAGATACCTTATTATCTTTTGTTGTCCCGTCTGCCAGTTTGCAAAATAATCAGACTGGATTTAGCAGATATGGTTACAAATCTGGATAAAGCTTTTGGCTCCTTTTGCTATAGCTACGCAATTGAGTGCAGTCCCCTGTCGACTTCTGCTCCTGAATTGGACAGTGACTTAGCGATTTTGGCCCCTAAATGTTCGTTGTCTTGCTCTAGGGTGGACGATAGAGATTTAGTGCACCTATTCACTATTATTCGCGGAACACTACCCCTAGTCTCCATTATATTTTTAGTGATGGAGGCTCTTATCTCATTTTTGGATCATGCATACGTACTGTATGACTGATTCAAAATACTTTAAAAAGCATAGTCTTGAATGGAAGTCGCCAGTTTGAAGCTGTTGCCGCAAAGCTCAAGAAAGCTGCTTTCTTAATGGCTAGTGTCAACTGATTTAATCGGTTCCCATCATTAGTGTCAGATAAAGCCATTTGTCTGATTAACGAGTGTCGGATTAATGGGACTTGACTGTACGTAGAATAACCCTGTAACAAATTATATATTTTGACATTTGCATTGGTCTAGTTCTCTTGGTTAAACTGTTCATAGTGTTATTTGAAATGACGGCTATGTGATTGTACACTGTAGTGTAGGCCAAGATGAGATTAGGCCCTGAATACGTTTCTAATACTTAAAATACATCATACACAAAAATACTAGTCACAGTTTTGGATTCTTTGGGAAAGTATCTAGTATCTGATGCCATTAACAACTATTTTAGGCAAAGCATATGTACAGAAAACGACATCTTAATGTAGTGTACATTTTAAACGGCATTTTACCAATTCTCCGTTCTAAATGTAATTATTTATTCAAATAAGGTATAGCTACATGAGAAGTATAGTAAAAAAACTATGAGGTGTCTGCTCTTTGTCCATACTCCAGTGATCAATGTTAAAAAGAATCTAATAACCCAATATTCATTTTTGAAACGTAAAAACTCTTATTCGAACCTCCATGTTGGAAAGTGTTGCAAAATTATGACTCTTTTCGCGTCAGTCGAGATGCCTGTCACATCACATGTATTTAAACTTCTGCTACGATACATACATCCCTGAATTCATCATTCCATTACCAATCAATTGACACATTGCGTAAGTCACTTATACAAACGGTCCAATTGAATTCAAGTGTTAAACCAGACCCTGTGCTCTGAGACCTACAAGGCCTTCTTGTTTGAAAATGTAAACAAAGCAAACTTCTAGTTTTGCATGTTAACATTTTCTACTATTCTGAGAGATTCAGTCGTCAACCTTTTGCATACATTAGGTCAGATTATTGCGAATATGCCTGGGTCGATAACCATTGCAAGAATTGAGAAATTAATAATTAGATACTTATTTTGAAAAGTCAACAAAATTTGTTCCACATGACGCCATGATTGACGCAAAATTATGCGCACTGACAGCGGTATTAGTCTGCCTTTCCATGTAGTATCAAGGCTAGAATAGAAACATAAAAAACAAATAGAACATGTTGATTTCAGATTACTTAACTTACATGACTCAGTTATGAATATATGTGTTCTCTGCACCACTGAATAAACTGCTCTGAACATTCTGCATACTGCTATCAGTGAACTCGTAATGTTATAAGGTTACCAATAGTGATGTCATATTCATATACATCGTTGTACATTTTTCTTATTTTCTGTGAGTTGCGGATGAATTAGTACACAACACATTCATTTAATGAAGTAGATCTTGAATTATAATTTGAATATCTCTTGATATCTTTTCACCCAGTAAAATAATGCACTGCTGCAAAATGGGTACATGTATGTATTAACATGATTAATGTTACTTATATTTTCTAAAATGCCATAGAATTTATGAATCTCTTAATAATCAGCTGTTCGTTTGAACATAGAAATTGCCATTCATCTTGCTTTTCTTCCTATAAGATGCTTTGTGAATGTAACACTGCAGCACATACATATTTGGAGAATTGTGAAATATTCATTATATATATTTATAGGTTCAATGAAATAGCCACTTCATTCCTTAAATTAAAAGTAAATGTATTCTTGAAGGAAATTTTCAGGATTTTTATAGATCATTCTTCTATATTATCACAAAATCTGAAATATGTCTTCAGGACATTTTGGATTACAATCATTCACAGTACCGACAAAAAAACCCGATGTGGTTTCAAAATTGATAGCTGTGTGGGAACTTTGAAGCTACACATAAAGAAAAATACACCAGAATGTATTGTCCTGAGCCAGAGCGAATCCTCACAAGGACAGGACGGATACTGAGTTACGATGGCTTCCAGTTAAGCATTGTGGAGTTATGCCCCTTTTTGTCTTTGTACATGTAGAATGTTAAAAACTCCATAATAAACAACTCCGTTAAATTGCAAAGTCAGAGGTTGGCCATGCACTGGCAGTACTTGTAAATTGCATTAAAAGTAAACTGGAGGCATAGGACTAAGTTGTATTGCATAAGACAACATGGAATAGAGATGAATATATTTCTGCTGGGAACGTTTGAGGGTGTTCAGGAAATGGTGGGGATGGGGCTGCTTCTGTTTGTGCATGTATTACAAACACAATTTTAGTTCTCCAATATATTTTGACTAAGTTGTTGACATTTTAGTGGCCTTAAGCAGGGTTTCAGTTCATTTTCAAGGACATAAACTGATTTCTAAATCACGTGGTGAGGGTAGTTCTTACTTACCTGTATTTCCATGTGCCTTCTGTCTGCAGGGAGAGGAAAACCTGGTGGTGCCTATTCATGCCTACCCTGTGATGAGCACAAAAGACTTCCCCCATCACTTTTCATTCTCTCCAGTCCCTGTTGGGCACAAGTAAGTCATATCCATCTGTCAAAAGACCAGTCGACTGTTTTTGTACATGGGGGGTTTGGTTTCCTGTTTGTGGAATTTCTTTATGCTTTTGCCCCTATTGTATGTTAGGAAAGTTCAATCTATATCTGAACCTTTGTTGGGAGTTTGTCCCTTTTGAAAGGTTTTCAGTGACATGATTCCATATCAGTTTTGACTTTCAAAGTTGTAGCTCACCTGACTGAAAGTATCAATATGTACACAAGTCCTAAAAAGTCCTAAAAACATTTCTTCTCATTGTATTCTCTACTTCAGATGTATGTATTAGAAAAATAAAATTCTGTGCATCTTTGTATCATCATTAAATTTTCTTTTCAGAATGTCTGAAGTATTTCCTCTCTACTGTGGAGCTCCAGTAGATTTTGAGTTTCAGATTACCTACATCCAGCCAAGTGTGGCCTTCCAAATCTCCCCCATGTCAGGTAACAAAATTACCAACAGCACAGATATGTGAAATATAAGGTTATGTACCTCCATCATATTAACTTGTGTTTGAGCTTGGAATCAATTGTCATCTGGAAAATTCATTTAAGTTTTTAAGTAAGGGTTCATTCATGAAAAATGGATAAATATTTACCCATGAAACTACTCATTATTCCTACAAATACCTTACCTCCATGACAGCTTTGTCATAAATCCCAAATTTTGACAAATAGCACATCCTAAATAGTCTTCAGAGTTTCAACAGAAGCCCTCTTCACTGTCAACTAACTTGTTGTGCAAGTAATATATTATTAACTCACCAGGTCCAAAGGACCAAGGTGAGCTTATGCTGTACCGTGGGGTCCGTCATCTGTCCGTCGTCTGTCGTCCGTCGGTCAACAATTTATTCAAACGACTTCTTCTTCTGAACCTCCAAAAGGAAATTAAAGAAATTTGACTGCAAGCATCCCTAGGTGGTGGGGATTCAATATTGTCGAATTGTGGGGCTTGCGGTCACTTCATGACACATGGTGACCCTCACATACCCTGCTGAAGGTGCAGTTCTACAGGTTGCACAGAAGATGCTCAATGTCTGCAGTATACAGGTGTTTAGAAGAAGGTAATGTGTGAACCATGTTCTGCCAGTGTACCATCAAACTCAAATGGCCGTGTGGACAGAGACACCTGGGCAAGCCTAGTCAAGCCTGTCATGGAGTATCTTCCAACCGCTACCACAGACCGTGTAATTGGAAATGTTGCTGGTGACCTGGACATACGGAAATAGTTCAAGCCACGATCACCACAGCCGATTTATGGTTGGTTTTGATTCGGATCTGTTCTCCATTCCCCCAGTGACCCTGACTGACAGGTGCAACTGCACCACTTGTCGACCATTGTCAACCTTATCTCAACCTATGGCTCTGAACTAGACGCTGCTTAACATGCCCCAACCGAGACGCGTGTCAGACGACCAACCTATTGTACCAGTCTCAGATGGATGGTTGCAATATTGATATTTTTTAACTTATCCTGCATTACTTCTTAATGCATTTACTGCTGTTTTCTGACAGAAAGACAGACTGTGTGAACTGTTAATCAGCTGTTAAAGATGGTTGTTCTAACCAGAAGAAGCAGCACCCTCGCACAGTCGGCACGTGACCGAGAAGCTATGAAGTCACATCAAAGCACATCACTGCTTTGTAACCTCCACAGACGGACATACTATGGTATCCCTTGTGGAAATAAAGCTTATTGTGTTGCTGTATTGCCTGTTTCTACATTCATCGTTTGCTAACTAGATTCTCTTCCCCTGGTCTTCCCCTACCTATTTCATAACATTTTATCGCTCGATTGTGGCTTGAGTCACAGTAATTTACGGGTGTATTGTTGTTCCTGCCCGCCATTTTCAGTTCACCACATGGCCACGTACTTTTGTGTCTTGCGTTTTTTTATTTGGCTTCAGTAATCCATTTTTTTTGTTTGACCTCATGTTTGTGTGTTTAAAGCTTTGCTTTTTACTACCTTTTGCTCACTATGTTTGCCACATCGTTATGATTTTGCTTAAATTTAAGAAATTATGCCTCACTGCACTCGCTGCCGCGGAAACAAATCTGTTTGGGACCCCCACCCTCTCTGCCTTGATTGTAAGACGCCCTGTACTTTCACAGCACAGTGCCGATATTGCAGTCCTTTGCTGCCGTGCACCTTCAACTCCTACTTATGAGTATCCAGGAAACGTCTCACTCAACGTGCTTGTTTGAAACCCTGACATGGCTTACAACTCCCTCATCAAGACTCCCTCCTTCATCAAGACCAATGCCCTTTTGCTGTCTTCTACGCTTCTCTTGCCTTCACCTTTAACAATGACATCGCACCCACCACCTGACTACTGACTCGCCGATGCCTTCAGCCCCTTCGTCTACCACGAGTTCTCACCAGCCTCATTTGTCTTATGCGTCATCTTCTCCGTCTGCCTCTCGCCGGTGTTCCATGTCTTCTCAATCCCAAAGTCTTTCACATTGCTCAGACTCTTCGGAGGGATCTTTTCAGCCCGATTTAGATCCTCCCTCTCCGGAAATTGACACCCAAGTGGGTCCTTCCCAGGTAGCTGATTGTCTGGCTGACCGTTTGTCCTCCATTGCTCTCTTCCCCGGTTCTGATGTCGACAAAAAATCCACTATCTGGTCTTACCTGACTTTGCTCCCACCTGACCCTTTGTTAATTGACCTTGTTGCGGCTTTAGATGAGGATTTCGCTAAGGTGTCCATCACGCTATCATTCAAGGCTCCTCACAGTCCTCATGGTGATTTTTCTGTCCACTCCTTCAACATTGCTGATGAAGCACACACGTTGGACGAGGACCTGCATCGAATCACTTGGTCGTCCAAGTCCACCAACCTTCATATGCCGGACACTCGCTTTGCCTCTGGTGGTGGACAGTGGAATCGAATGTCTTTGGCGGCGTCTCCTTGCCCCTTGCCTCCTTGCCCCTTGCCACATGGCTGGTCCGGAGATCAACACCATTGGCACAGCAACAACCTTGAGCTAGAAGCACTTATCCTGGCCGTCTGTCACTAGCAGAGCACTCTCCGTCATGCCCAGTTGACCATATCCACAGACAACATCACTGTGGTGTGGTGAGGTGTCTGAGGAATCAGGGTATTCTCCACTCTCAGTCAATGCTAAACCAGACCTTCCGGTTCTTCGACCTGGTGGACAGGGATTCGTCCACCTCCCATCCCATATTAAATGGCTCCACTGCGTTCCACATTCACTTTTAGGTCAGTTCTAGTTTGGGCTACCCGCCTCATTCTATTTCTGTCACCTATTCAGGTTTTCCTATTTGCATTGACTCTCGTTTCCTTCCGACAGGATGTTCTGGTTATCACTTGCAGTGCGGGTTCATCAGACCTTGACAAGGGTTTCTTATCGATCACATCTGAAGGTATGCCCACCTGCCATGCCATCTGATAAAGATGCATTAAGGAGTAATGCAGGGTAAGTTACAAAATTTAGTACAATCTTAATATTTTTTACATTTGTGTACTTATCCTGCATTACGATGTCTAAGTGCCATCCCTTTACTACGCTACCTCCCCACGAATTTCAGATGTTGTGTTTAAAGCAGTTATGTGCTTTGATGTGATGTCATAGCTTCCGGGTCACGTGCTGACTGTGAGAGGGTGCTGCCACTAGTGGTTTATTTAGCAGCTGGATGTCACACAGTTCGTCTGTCAGAAAACAGCATTAAATGCATAAAGGAATAATGCAGGATAAGTATACAAATGTAAAAAATATTTAGATTTTACTAAGTTTTGAGTCAAAATTTTTGACCATGTGGGTCTCACAGTCTCCTCTACCTGCGTAGTGTTATGAACTGGGGCACTTGTTTGTTGATCTTATGGAAGGACTATATCACATGCCCCTTCTCAAGCCAGTCATGCAAGAAGAAATAGTTTCTCCCATGCTGTAATACGCCGGTTGCCATGAAGCATCATCCTTTACCATGGCCAAGCTACAGGTCTTTAGTGGTTACCCAGGCTAATGATGGACTGTCAAGTAACAAAGTGATGCAAAGTTGTCTCTTCATTTCATGAAACGGAGGACTTATCATACTCATGATACTCCATTGCCTGAAAAGACACAGGCTGGTTCATTCACATAGCTTCAACTGATCTCTCCCTTTCTCCTAAGACACTAATCGTACATTAATGGGTATCTATGGAAAAAAACTACTTAAAACATGTTAAAGAGTCTTACAAAGTCCATATATTTTTACCTATCCTATCTCACACTATGCATTTCTCTTTCTTTTTTCGATCCTAAGTGGAAACGTGTCTTAAATAAAGGTTTCCATCTTCTAAAGTTAATTCACCCATACATACCATATTTTCGTGAGTATAGTGCGCACTTTTTTTCCAAAAAACGAGCTGTGTAGAAGGGTGTGTGCATTATACATGCCATAATGAGTTTTGAAGTTTTTTCACCCAACGCAAAGACACTACCGTGAGCACGTAACATTGGAAATACCATGTCAACAAATCCATAATGAGTACGCAAATCATGTAATTACACTGTATATCTGGACTTATGTTCGTAACTTATTTCATTATTTTTATTCAATATTCCTTTTAAGATTGTTTTAATTAATTTCGGCGAAATCGTGTGTGAAGCTATCGGAAGATCGCACAACTCACCGTTATTAACAGCAACCATAGTCAGATTACCGCTATTGATGCCTTGAAACGAACTTTAGTTGACAGAGAATGGATACATATATACTGAACAACAAAAGTTCCTGTGACATTGAATAAGATTTAATGCAAAGTTATGTTTTTTACCAAATCTGAAACAATTTCAGTTGCAACAGATAAAAGACTCCTGTAAGTGTTTAAATGGTTTAATTTGCCATACTGATTTCAGAAAATGTGTGATTTCATAAAAAACATGAACATGCCAAAATGTCAATTTACAAATCAATAGCGTGTGTGTCCACCTCTGGTTGCGATGCAAGCAGCACATCTTCGTCTCAAGGAATGGACCTGGCCTCGCACTAAAGTCCTGTGGGATATCTATGCATATCTGCTGGAGCATGTTTCGAAGTTGCTGGAGTGACTGTGGAACACGGGGTTGACGTCGAAGGCGCCGATCTATCTCATCCCACATGTGCTCGATTGGTGAGAGATCAGGGGAGCAAGCCGGCCAGGGTTTTGTTGAAGAGAATCCCGAAAAAGTCGAGCAATATGAGGCTGGGCGTTGTCATGTTGAAAGGTAATGCCTGGGCCATGACGACGCAAAAACGGTAAGAACAACAGGGTCGATGATCTAATCGCAGTAGCGCTGTGCATTCAGATTTCCCTCTGCCACTATCAAATGGGTCCTCTGTCTTGCTGTAATCCCACCCCATATCATAACGCTGCTGCCCCCGAACCAATCTTCTTCCATGACACAATGATTGACACAACGTTCACCTCAACGTCGGTACACTCAAATTCGTCCA